AAAAATTTAAGTGACGCATTAAATCACTGGAAATACTGGGAAATTCAGAAACCTCAGAATAAAGTCTTGTGAGCGACTTTCTTTTCTTTACAAAAATACACAACCCCAACTAAACAGCACGAATACGGCAAACTGTGACTGTTACAATTGATGATGTTGCTGAGTACTCAGTAACCTTTCTCGCCTGCTTATATTTTTAACCTTCACAGTTGAACAAGATGTTTTGATTTTTTTAAAAATTAGAGGCAAAAACGTTCTGCTATTGGGAGACTGCAAGATGAATCACAAACTTCCTCAAATAAATAGAACAAAAATAAGCATAAGAGAAAAGGGGAAGAAAACAAACTGCTGCCTTCATAATCATTCGCCCACACTATCGCTTCCAAAATATACAGTACTACAGAAGCCCTTGTCTGATTTCTCCTGCACATTCTCTTCAATTGTTTGATAACGAACATCTCCGAAAAAAAGGTCTTTTGCCTACACGTAAGCTCCTGGCTTTCTAAGCATTGCTCTAACTACAGCGAACTAGTTAAATGCAGCCTCATTAAATCAAATTTATGGTAATGCTATCCAAATGAAGTAGCAGTCATCACTATTCGCAATCATTCAGCTAAATGATTTCCCAGAGAGACATCCTAAAATAATGCAGCTGTCACTGTTCAACACGTGCTAGAAAGAAAACTATACAGTACTTTTATTCTTCATCAAAAAAAAAAAATTACAAATATGTTCCAGATAGTTCTTTTTGGCATGGAGTTGGGGGGTTGTTGATTTTTTTATTGTATTTTAGTTTTTGATAGAGTCATATTATGATCAGAGGTGTATGTGTGTCATTTCAGACCATGGACTGCTTTATATTGCTTACTAACAGTCCACCCTGTACTCTTCAAAATCCTGAAACCCACACTAGAAAATAGGCCAACTTGTGTTCCAACTGTGTAGTCACAGACATACTCCAGTTTTGGATTATTACTTGTAACACTCATTCAAGACAGGAGACACTTCAATCCTTAGAAGGGCTCCAAAAGCTTATGTCTGGCTTGCAGGCATGTAGGCAAGAGATTGCATCCTTTTTTTTCTGACAGAAGAACGAAAATGAAAAGGAAGAGAGATGGTAGTAATTGTACATGTGAATGCCCCGTCTCAAAGACTGTAACTACTCATAAGAAAGAATATTTTCTATCATTGAAGAGTTGGCTACGTTTCCACCTCAACTTCAGGCAATGTTGCACAGACTGAGAATTAACCATGCCTCGAGGTGTGAATCATTTCTATGAGCGATGGTAATAACATACACCTGGAGGTAAATGGTCACCCATAAACACATGTAGGCACTTGAACCATCCTATCCACAGTTTCATGCAACATGTAATTTTTTTTTTTTTTGTCTTTTATCAAGCAGCCTTCAAAGAAACAAAGTAGTGAGTAAGGGACAAAGTCGAAGATCAAAATCAGATTATAAAAAGAAGTGGGAAATGGAAAATTCACAGGGAAATGGCTGCTAGTTATCTTAGTGGGACTCGTACTTCCGTGCATGAAACATGGCAGAACTGGTAAAGAGTAAAGCCAATAAATCAAATGTCTAAGAAATTTAGAAATTGGTCAAGTCCAGAGGAGATTGACATGAATTCCAGAAGAAATTAACCAAAGGAAGCCTGACTCATGGCAAGTGAAATCTTGTATTGATAATTAAATTTAAAAGTAAGCACAGTGGATTGAGTTTCAAAAATTCAGCTGAATTAAAAATCTTGGGCATCATTTTCAATAGCTCTGTAGTGACGTGAACTCAAGGGAGACCTATTATTAGCTAATTAATATCTTAGACTGTATAAAAAGTAAGGTAAGGAAAAAAAAATGTATTTTGGTGCTGTTCTCTAAATCAACAGTCTGTTGTCACTTGTCAGCTACTGGATGCTCACTTCTAATAGCCTAGGGAAGAACTAGTGTTAAGGGAAGACATCAGGAAGCAAAAATTAAAGGTATTATAAATTCTCACACATGAAGAATGATTGAAAACTTTAGGTACGTTTACCCTGAAAAGAGATTAATAAAAAACACAATAAGCATGTGAAAGAAAGAACAGTTCAGTGGGAGAAGGATCATCACATATTTCTATTTCACATTTAGGTACAACAAAAACTGAGCATTCAATACAGCTGAAATGTTTCAACTAACGTAAGAGACACAGAATAAACAGGGTAATATTATTTCGTCATAAAATATGCAAATATTTTTAATGTCTTGCTGCATGTTTGGTAAACCCAAGAATTTAGTGCTATTTTTGATGCCCTGCACAGTTATAAAGCTAAAAATATCAACATTTATCAAAGCTAAAATTACATTTTTTGGAAAATATGTATCGCCATTCTTCAAATTAAACCTCAAAGACAATTACTATCGAAAAACATGTCCCTTCCATGTAGTTTCTACACCCATCCATGTGAAACATTCACATGGAATTTGATGTGCAGCAGTGATACATTTATATGTTTCTAATTTCTATAATCTACCAATGATGACTTATTAAAAACAAAAAACAATGTAATTTCTTCTGTAATATAGAAAATACTAAAACTTAAAAAAAAAAAAAAGAGAGAAACTCATTTTCTTACATGTTTCTCATTGTTACCGGATGAACTCATAATGATGAATTTTATATTTTAAATGCATAAATATGAAAAAAAGCAGTTCTTCCCATGAGAGAAATTATCTTATTGATTTCTTTTTAACAAATTTATAAATAAAATAGAAACAAAAATGTCCTGTCGATGTAAACTGAGCCAAGTATGCTGAACCTATTTCTAATTCTGAACCTAATGTCAGTGCTTTCTGTAAACCATCTGCTCGTTCTCATCGTCAGGTTTCCTTCCCAAGATAACGAGGATAAAGACAGTCACCTTTCTTGCAAGTGCATCAGGATATAATACATTTTCTGAAAGGCTTTAACTAGCTGTGCTACAAATCCGAAATATTAGGATTCTGTAAGTGTTGTGACGTGGTGCTGGTTTCATCCTTAATATTGTTTGCACATTTTTTTTAAAAATGAGAATAAATTACCTCTATAGAGAGGAAAGCCCTTTATCATAGATTATACGCATCTAACTAAATTTTAGGAGTTAATTGGGCTCCCACCTCTTTGCTCAGCATGTAAATTTATTTCAAATTCACTATAAAACAATGTAAGCATTTATTTAATGCTGCAATTTTGAGGTCTGTTCTCCTAAACTCCTTTTACTTTTGTTATTTACTGTACGCACTTGGAGGTCCTGGTCTCGAACTAAGGCCCTGAACATTGTAAAACATACAACAGGATGGCAATCACTCTCTAGAAATACACACATGTGTAAATAAGACAACAAATGCATCCAGGGAAAGAAGATTAAAAGGTAGAGAAAGGCCATATTTATCAGCATGAGAAGTAGTTACAGCACACCACTGCCAAACAGTGACTTCAAAAATGAAAGAACACGGAACAGTTCTCAAGAAAGAGTTCAAAGAAGACAAAAAAGTGATGTCTCCTGCATAACTTACAGGGAATTTTTTCCATGGAAGGGTATCTTTTTTTATTTAACAAGTGACAACTGCATAGCTTGGTCATAGAAGAGAAGGTTCCAATAGCTGAACTGGGAAATGTGAGATAATGAAAATCTGAGACACAAATTCGGCTGTTTATGTAGAGAAGAGACCAGACATGAGGGGTGACCATACAAAACAGAGTGGTGAGGTGCACACATGCAAGGTGAAGCAAACCAAGCACAAATGAAAATCAAATATCTTTTTGCTCACTACATAAATAGCTTCATGCATTCACAGAATCATAGAATGGTTTGGGTTGGAAGGGACCTCAAAGATCATCTAGTTCCAACCCCCCTGCCATGGGCAGGGACACCCTCCACTACACCAGGTTGCTCAAAGCCACATCCAACCTGGCCTTGAACACTTCCAGGGATGGGGCAGCCACAACTTCTCTAGGCAACCTGTTCCAGTGCCTCACCACCCTCAGAGGGAAGAATTTCTTCCTTAGATCCCATCGAAATCTCCCCTCTTTCAGTTTAAAGCCATTGCCCCTTGTCCTGTCACTACACACCCTTGTAAAAAAGTCCCTCTCCAGCTTTCCTGTAGGCCCCCTTTAAGTACTGGAAGGCTGCAATAAGATCACCTCGGAGCCTTCTCTTCATACATGAATAGAAGCCCCAAAACCTTCAGATCAAGTTTTATTTAATTTCATAGGCACACACAAGCACATATATTAAAAAGGCTTTATGCACTCACAAACACGAGCCTCCATGAGGAGTCTCTCACAATTGTTGAAACAGTCTAGGACTGGACAATACACTTACGAGCACTTCAATTTTGCATACTCGTATTTTTAAAAAGTTGCTGCTTGTTCAGAGGTATCATACAAAGACTTACATATTTTTAACACCTTGCAAACATATGCATGCATTCTGATACCCTAAAGAATCAAAAATAGATTTTATAATCAAACAAAGAATCCAAACAGGTAAGTACAGCCCAGTGAAAACCACAGATCAAAAAAAACCCCACAAACAAACAAAAACAACCAACAACAAAACCCCAAAAAACAAAGATTTGCTTGAAATACCATCATTCCATATATATATGAAAAAAAAAATTGTCACATAATTATTCTATTACAAGGGTACAGCTAAGTGACAGACATATATATAGGTATGTGTGTGTGTCTGTGTGTATGCAAAATAAACAAATTTAACCTTGATTTAAAAGCTCTATCCTCTTACCTGTAGATAAGTTATTCTCCTCTGCACCAAATCTGTTAGATCTTTGGCTTCTTTTTCTCGCCAATCTCCTGCTCCATCTGTTTGACTGAGGTAGTACAAGTCGGTCATTATTGACCTGTAAACAACAATGGAAAACCATCTTTAAAAAAATGGGAAACAATCTTAACACTACTGAAGTGGAGGATCAGATGAAATCAAAAACACGTTATAAAGACACTTCAATTATAGCCTCAAAAACAGTTTCTTCATAGCACTTCCTGCCCCACAATCCAAACAGCAGCCAAGAAAGACCGTGTTCTCCGTTTAACATATGTTCCACACCCATAAGTAATTATAGCACTAAACAGGAGATGGGTTAGAACACTTCCTCGGCTGCTATAAAGCATTTGTTTCAGGTATGTGCTAAAGGAAACTAAAAAGAAATAGTTCTATGCCAGATACATTATTCAGTGGCCCCAGATGAAAGTCCAATAGCAATTCCTGCAGTAGCTTCTATTATAATGCACTGTTGCTTCACCTCCTACAATCGTCTTACTATGCTTGCATAGAATATAGTATTACGAATGTCTTTAGCACAGATACAACAGTAATCCTTCTATTTTCATTAGTGAAAACTAGCCACAGAATATGATTACAAGGTTTAGTGAACAGTATTTTCTATTGCATGGAGCTCCTTCTGACTCTGGAAGGAGGTAAGCGCTCTGCCTGCTTAGAACGACTTCATGCTACTAATACTCAAATGGAAAAAAAAATTAAAATTCAAAATCCAAAACAGACTCATGGTCATATCACTAGTCTAGCCTACAAAACGGGAATTTTCAGGAACTAGTAAATATTAAATTGAGGTTATCTAATACACTAGAGATCCTCTTCTTAGGTTTGTCACAGTTTGGTGGATATAATGAGAGGATAAAGAACTCCTTGTCATGAGAAGAAAAATGATATATGCCATTTATTTGCTAAGATTAGCCAGGAATTTTGTGAAAAACAGCCCAAACCATACCACCCAGGAAAAGATTTTTTTCTATCTGTGGCTTTGGGAGGAAACACAAAACTAGAGGCAAACTACTCAAAATATTTGTAAAAACATTAATTGCTGTTCTACAAGTACAGGTAGCCCAATTCAGAACCAATAACTTCACAGCTGGCTTTATAGTCTGAGAGTATTTAAATTGCTGAAAATTTCTCTATAACAACCCTAAAATTTTAAGTTTGAATCACTTTTCTTAATTCTTTCTTCGGATGTTGCAATTTTTGCCTGGAAGTCTTGATAAGCCACAAGTTTGACCAGTAGGAAGAGATGGGGGAGAATAAAGGCAGAGAAATTTGGGAAGTGACAAAAAGGAGTGTGAGGGGAAGACAACGATATTTCCTAACAGCCTTTGAAGAGGTCTTGTCAGTGAAGGACAAGAGACCACTGTTGGCAGAACACTTGTTCGTACTGGAACCACAGTTTACCAGTTTACGTGGTAAATATTGAGATAAGTCAAACTGGGGTGGAACTATGTTTATAAGTAGAATTACCAGACAACCTTCTCTCACTAATAACTGGGTTTATGGCTCTGTATTTTTCCCTTCTCCTACACTCATTGTGGTTTTCCCACCCGAATAACACTGACCCTGACTTACTGCATCACCGACATTTGCTGCGGT